CTTCTACCCCGGCAAGTGGAAAACTGTTTACACAGAAATTTATAAATCGAAAACTATCTTGACTCTCTATACATTTCTTTGTAAAATCTGACTTAACTCGCTTAACACTTTCAAGCGACACCGCTGCATTTGTACGCGGGCGCATGACCGGAATAGTTGGCGATGATCTTGTAGTAGAACCAGGAAATGACGTCTATTGAAAGCGAATCGGCATTGGAACTGGTTAAGGTCCGTTACAATAAACGAATAAATGATGACGATAATATTGATAACTAGTGGTGATAATTATAATAATGATGGTGATGATAACTAATCGTTTGCCATTGATATCGAGGTATAAATAAAATCAAGATGGGTTTCGGTCAAAAGATAAACTGATCCACCTAGCCTTATAGGAATCCTGATTATATAAGTAATATCTCAAAGCCGACAATGAGGAGTGGACGGCATTTCAAGTCCTTGCAATTATTTCCAGTCCTGCTGCGCCGAGGACCGGAACTAATTGCAAGGACTTGAAATCCCGTCCAATCTAATTTATTCAGTATATTTAATGATATGCAAAACGGAAAAATCGCTTTATTTATTGTTTGTTTCATTCAATGACTGTCAAAATATTTTTTCTTGTCTTTTAGATCGTACAGATTATAAATCAGTTGGTTTAAGAGTTGAAAATGGTTATTTTGCATTATGCATCTCATTAGATATTTGTATAAATGTATAAATGTATTCTACAACGTTTCTGCAATCGAGTGTATATTCATTCTCTTCCAGTCAATATGATATATATACACTCGATTGCAGCAACGTTGTAGTATACATTTATACATTTATACAAATGTCTAATGAGATGCATAATGCAAAATAACCATTTTCAACGCTTAAAACCAACTGATTTATAATCTGTACTATCAAACAGACAAGAAAAAAATATTTTGACAGTCATTGAATGAAACAAACAATAGATAAAGCGATTTTTCTGTTTTGCATATCATTAAATATACTGAATAAGTTAGATATTTGTATAAATGTATACTACAACGTTTCTACAATCGAGTGTATATAAATATATATTTACAATAACTTACAAATTTCTCGCGCGCTGATTGGTTATTTTTTATCATCAATAAGAAGACAGACAGATAAAACTGACGTCAACGAGCGCGCGCTCTTTCCGTTAGTTGTTTTGATCGCTAAAAATGAGAAGTTTTTATCGTTTTTGTTATTGTAAAAAACAAAATGACATCAGATTTTTATGTGTCTGTCCTCTTATTGACAATAAATTTCGCCATGACATTGTCAAAGTAGTATGCGGATCCACTCGGCTACGCCTCGTGGATCCACATTACTTTGACAATGTGATGACGCAATTTATTGTCAATAAGAGGACAGACACATAAAAATCTGATGTCAATTTGTTAAATATATACACTCGATTGCAGAAAGGTTGTAGTATACATTTATACAAATGCCTAATTTATTCAGAATATTTAATGATATGCAAAACAGAAAACTCGCTTTATTTATTATTTGTTTTATTCAATGAACGTCAAAATAGTTTATTCTTGTGTTTTATATCCTACAGATTATAAATCAATTGGTTTTGAGGGTTAAAATGTAAAATCTGTTTCGTATGGTCGCAATGACCACACTCATCAGGCAAGTTACATTGAATGACCGTTGGTGTAATCCGCTGGCGTTTAAATATATATATATATATATATATATATATATACAGCCATTTGCCAATAGTCAAGTATATTTATATATATCCATATAAACTAATTTCTAGATTTCGGTAGGCCATTTCGGTCTCAGCTTTTATGTTCTATGTTTCTGAACCCGACAACGATTCTTCAATTGAGTGTATACAGCCAATGTCATTAACGTTGTCCACCGAAAAAAAGACATTTACACATTTA